CAACCTTAAGGAATAAACCGTATTGTAGTCGAGCCTGGTGTTTCAGGTGGTGATCCTTCCTCAAGTTGTTATGTAAACTTCGCATGCACATAGGGAAGTGTCTTCGGGCTAAGTCGTCAATCATATCAGCTGTTACCGCCTCACCACTTGCTGGTGCACTCGAATATTCAGAAGAAATGCCTGCTAGGAAACCTTTGGATAGGTGATTCAGAATCGGAGTGAGGCGATCCTCGTCCATTCTTGGGAGTGCTCTCGCAGTGAGCTTCCAATAATGAGTTCAAAGTCTTCTTCTGAGTTTCAATACTCACCTCCAAGGCCCTTTCGAGCTCGGCTTGGAACTGCTGGAAGATGATACTCGACTGCTCCCGTTTGGCTACATACGCAATTCCGGCTCGAAGGTAAACCCTTCGTTTCTCCACTAAATCGGGAACACGTGTCCAAGGCACTTTGAAGTATTGCTCTGATGGAAAATCTTTGACCGCAGAGGGAGGGACATAGAGACGAAGTTGGGCTTCCAATTCAGCCTTTTCAGCCGGGGATACCTATATGAAGTGTTAGAAATCATTAATTGAAGTATAAGATGTATTAGTGGTTTCGAGAGAGTCGCGACATACCTCACTCCACCCGAAATCCCGGCTTAAGAGGAATTCCGCCCGTTCTCTGGGATCGTCTGTATCGTATCTAATTCGAAATAGTGCCATCTCGGCTTTAATGAAGCGCTTTCTAAGTTCTTCGGAACGACAGAATGCCAGTCTGAGTACAAAGTGGCTAACATGGTCCTTTTTGCGTTCAGAGTCCTTGTCGACATTGGCTGCGGTATTGCTGTTGAGCGAGAGATATTTCTTCTGTTGTGTAACCACCAGAGTTTTGAGTTCTTCATGATTGCGATTTCGAACGAACGAAGACTCGATTTCCGCTAGAATGCGTAGTCGATCTAGAGCCCATGATTCGAACTGTTCCAGTGTTACATCGAATTTGGGGGGAATATCATAGCTATCAGAGCTTGTCAGCAGATTAAATATTTGAAGCAGTGTGGCGCCTCACAAATTGAGTCTATGAGGGTAATGTGGTTCAAAATAATTCTCTACTTGTGCAACTGTAGGTTTAGTGGAAGAAGATGCGATAGGGACACGACGAGCGGCGAGTGTAGCCATTACAGTTGTTGAGGTATGGGGTAACGCGAATTCAAACTCCGCTAGGATCGATCCTTACTTTGCCAAAGATATCCGTCTAAAACCCACGCTGATATTACATATTGCTACAAAATACAGGAGGTAGAAGTGTAGTGGTGTTCAAGGTAAAGACCGTGTCTTGTTTTCGCCTATATCCTTTTGAGTGTCCTCAACACTGCGACTCTTCGCGTCTTGCTCCTCTTCCATAGCCCAATCGTGCCAGAAAGCAGCACCTTCCCCTCTGGACCAGTAAAGTGCCGAATTTTTGCCTTTGACAACGGCTTCATTTATCAAGACATGTCTTACCCCCGACCCAGGCACATCATACATAGCGTCTAAGAGTAGTGTCTCCATAATGCCACGGAGACCCCTTGCTCCGCCACCTCGCTCCTTAGCGAGTTTAGCGATCTCCCGGAGTGCTGGATTGGTGAACCGAATCTCAACACCAGAATACCCAAATAGTGCGGTGTACTGAGATACCAATGAGCCTTTCACTTCCGTAAGGATGCGTAGAAGGTCTGCAATCGTCAACTGATTGAGAGAGGTGATGACTGGGAGACGTGATATGAATCTTTTCGCAGTGTCAGTATAAATCTAATCGCGTTATGCGACTTACTCTGGTATAAAGCTGAGAAATTCGTGCTTGTTAGATAACTCGGGGGGTTAGAGATGTGGATACACTTACCCATAGGTGATAAGGTCTACATGACAAGTTAATCATTGTTGGCAGTTCATCCAGAAGCTGACATACCTGCTGGTTCAACTAAGCTCCAGATATCAGCCTTTTCTCCGCTTTTCGTAAAAAATGGAGTAAAGTTATCCTCTTCTTGGCTGTGAGTGGGGAGGGTTGCCCCAAATCCGATGGACTGCGATATCTATAAGGATATAAAACGTTTGCTTTTACATTGACAACCTACTCCTTTAGCAATCCGTCGCTTGACCACCTTGTCCAGTCCAACAAATGCTCCAGAAAGAATGAATAGGATGTTACTGGTGTCAACTTGGTAGGTGTCCTGGCTCGCTGATGTCACTTGTAAGTAGGTTGGTCATGTGTCATGCTGATCAACTTACGGGCATTATGATTTCGTCCCCTCCGATCGCCCGGAGGTGGGCCCATTCCATTTTCATTGCCCTTGTTCGCGTTAATAGTGACGATGCTTCCTTCCATCATGCGAAGTAGGGCCTGCTGAACACCCTCACCCCCTACATCTCTTTGTAGCCCATCTCCTC